TCACCTCAGCCTCCCAAAGGCGCGGGATTACAGGCTGAGCCACCGAGCCTGGCTGAATAACTTCCACCAATTTTCTACAAAATTATATATGTCTATCCTAACAAGTCTTAGGAATATTTCATAATGCTTGATTTAAAATAATCTATAATATAATAATTTTATTATATAAAAATATTTTAAAAACCTCACTACTCTGTGCAGGATACCAAATACTATGTCTATTTAGTCACTTAGTTTGGCTAATGTAACATTCTTCCTTCTTAGAAATGAAAACACTCCTTTGCCTGTCAATAGCAATGTAATAGTAGTAATATGAGTATGTACAGTAGTCATTTAAATTTAATTACAAACCAATATTTAGAATATAGATTCAGTTCTAACATATTATTTGCTATATTTCAAGGAAAAAAATATACACAGATCAAACTATTTAGTTGAAATATAAGGATTCTATGAACACTGTTTTATGTATGCAAGACTACCAAAATAAGAGTTAAAAAGCACAACAAAAATATTCAACATAAGATATAATTATCAGTCTATTTTAAATCCACTAAACTCCTTTTTATTTTTTCTTTTATAATTTTTAATTTTAAATACGTGGGGTACAATTCAGGGTTAGGTATACAAATGTTCGTTATGCAGGTACCCTTGTTGATGAGGTGTGCCCCACCCCCAGCAGTTTCCCACTACTGCCATTCCTGCCCCTGCCTTCCCCTGGCAGTTTCCCAACTGCCAATCCCTTTCTTATAGTATTACAATAGTTGTTCAAGCTCCGCTTATTAGTGAGAATATGTGATACTTGGTTCTTTGTTTCTGTGATAGATCACTCAGTATTAAAGCCTCTAAGTCCATTCAAGTTGCTGTAAAATTCGTAATTTTGTCCTTCTTTATGCCTGCAAAATATTCCATCATGTATATGTACCACATCTTTTTTTATCCAGTTCTATTTCGATGGGCAGCACAGTTGGTTCCATGCTTTTGCTATTGTAAATAATGCTACAATAAACATGTGTATGCAGGTATCTTTTTCATGGACTGATTTCAGTTCCTCTGGGTATATTCCCAGCAGGGGGATTGTGGGGTTGTATGGGAGGTCGGTTTTTAGAACTTTTAGGAATTGCCACATTGTTTTCCACAGAAGCTGTACTAGTTTACACTCCCATCAACAATGTAGAAGTGTTCCCTTTTTGCCATACCTTCTCTAGCATCTGTTGTTTTTTTGAGTTATTGATGATGACCATCCTGACTGCAGTTAGGTGGTATCTCAATGTGGTTTTAATTTGCATTTCTTTGATGACTAGTGAGGCTGAGCATTGTTTCATGTATCTGTTGGCTGCCTGCATGTCTTCTTTTGAGCAGTGTCTATTCATATCTTTTGCACACTTTGTAATGGGGCGTTTTGGGTTCTTTTTGGCACGTTTGAGTTCCTTATAGATCCTAGATATTAAGCCTCTGTCAGATATACAGTTGGCAAATATTTTTTCCCAGTCTGTGGGCTGTCTCCCCACTCTCTCAATAGTTTCTTTGGCTTTGCAGAAGCTTGTCAATTTGATGAGGTCCCATTTGTCTATCTTATCTCTTATGGCATGGGCACTTGGGGATTTGATCAGGAATTGGCTGCCAGTTCCAATTTCCGTAAGAGTGTCTTCTGCATTTTCTAAGGTTTTTATAGTTTGCGGTTTTACGTCTAGGTCTTTGATCCATTTAGAGTTGATTTTTGTGTATGGTGATAGGTAGGAGTCTTGTTTTAATCTTCTGCATGTGGTCAGCCAGTTTTCCTAGCACCATTTACTGAAAAAGTTCTCCTCTCCCCAGTGGTTGGTGGTGGAGGCTTTGTCGAAGATGAGTTGGTAAAGAAATTGATGTTTTGCTTCTGGAAGTTCTATCCTGTTCCATTGGTCTATATGCCTGTTCTTGTACCAATACCAGGCTGTTTTGATTATTGTAGCTTTATAATAAAGCTTAAAGTCTGTGAGCGTGATTTCCCCTGCTTTGTTTTTTTTGCTGAGGATTGCTAAACTCTTTTTTAAAAAAGCTTCCCTCCTTGTAATTTAAACAAATTATCCTATTTGTTACTAATTAAAGTTAAAGACATTTAATAATGAGATATAAGAATTCCTAGCAAATAAAAGGACAGAGAAAACAATTCTTAAGAAAGAAGTCTGTACAATTGTAAGATGTTGCTGTGATCCCTTTGACAAATTATTCTCATGTAACAAATCTTGGAATTGGAAAAATATAACTTCTTTGTTTTCTAGAATATCCTACATTATTTACCACTAACCCCCAAATTAAGCACCTACTTAAAAAATGGCCTTGACTGGTGATCTACGTGAAAATCCAATGCTTCTTTCCTATAAAATAAACAAAAAGAATAGTTAAGAATTATATAATAGTTATTACTTTAGATCAAATTAATAAAATAAATATGAAATCTAAGTTCATATTTATATGAATTAATAATTTTCCACCAAATATTGTCAAATTCCCCTCCTTTTAAATATTTTACAAGTATGAGTCATAACTATTTTAAGATGTAAAATTAAAATGAATATAAGGCAATATTTACTTTTCCACTTGAGATATTTATCATTTATCTTCCTTTTCACCACCATCTTTAATATTTTAGAAACACGGCTTAACATTTGGCCAATAGGAATATTTGTTCTTTAAAGATCATATAAATTACTCCAAAAATGAAAAGTCATCTTCTAATTCAAAATTTGCCACTTTCTTTATAGGCTTTAGACTTGAGAGTTTGGATTAGAATTTTAATTTAGTAATTACAGCTTTCTTTCTTAGCTAGATATCTCCAAAAGAAAGACTATATCCTTGTGTTTTTAAAGTTATTCTTATTTTATTGGTGATCAATGGATAAAAAAACTAATGCTTTAACTGATATCACCAAAAAAAGAAAAGAATATGGAGAAATTCAGAATGTATTAATGGTAACAGGGACTTACTTTTTAAATTTATATTACCACTAAAGAGTATCTATTCAGACAATTTTTAAAAATGCATTTTAAATTGATTAGCTAAAAAGTCTAAATAACTTTTTATTAAAGCAAATCAGGTGTCACTCTTAAAACTGTATAGTTTTCTTAAAGGTTTTAAACTGAGCTCACAGTAAGTGACAAATATATATTAACATCAACTTTTTATTTTTATTTTATTTTTTGTCAAGGTATCACTATGTTGCCCAGACCAGAGTACAGTAGCATAATGATGGCGTTCAAGAATTTTTCCCCATCATTCTTATCTAATCCCTTGCTTAAAAGATTTAGAGTGAGATAGATATGAACAAGTGCATTACTGCCTAGCAAAGTTTTTTGTTATTTTTTGTGTTCTTATGAAAAAACTCATCATTTTTTCAAAAGGATCTATTCATTAATTCTTTCAAAAACATTTACTTATTGCCTACCTTGAATCAGGCACTGATCCAAGAACCAGAACTACAAACTCAGGCAGAACTCAGCTGCTGCCTTTTGGATACTGTCATGGTGGAGGAACTGATATGTGTACAATTTTAGAAAATATTTATACCCTGAAAAGAACTCCATGTCTCTCATGCTCCTAACCTGTATTACTGGTTATGCCAAGAATGCAAGGCCCTGAGTACTCTTTATCATTTCTCAGAGTTGTGTTTATAACAATCAACCTTGAGGAATGGGTAATGCCTCTCTTCAGTACAAAGAGCAGATTTATTAATTGCTTGCTAGTGAAACAGTTGGTAACCCAAGCTCACTCCTCTTCAGTTGTGATGCAGCCCACTGTGTATACAGCACCCACCCAGGTCTATGTCATTTTATCCCTACAGGACATGGTGGCAAGGTAAACCAACACAAACATGATACTCAAGTTGCTTACTAAATCATAATGAAGCCTTTTGTCTCTAACCCATAAGTCTCACATCATCTGTGAGCATCCATGACAGAGTAACAGACTAACTTGCTAGCTTGTAAACTGGGGTAAAAATCCCAGAAACAGTTATATTAACAAAAATGTATGAAATATTATGAATAATTAAAGAAGCAGTTTTCTTGGGAATTAAGAAAGAAGACAGAAGACAAGGCAGAGCATTCAAAATAAAACAAAATTATGTACTAGAGAATGGAGACGAGATAAAACATGACATATTCAGGGAACTGAAACTTAAGTATCTTCTTAGAGTCTATTAAGGTAAGTGAGGCCAGATCACCTAGAGTCTTGTATACCTCATCAAAGAGCTAGTCCATTTTTTCCTGCAGATGATGGGGAACCATTGAAGGATTTAAGGAAGGAATGGTAATATGTTCAGATTTTCATTTAGTAAGTTTTATTCTAATGGCAATATAAAAATGGCATGGAGCAATCTTGGGGTAAAAAAAGACCCATCAAGAAACAGAAAACGGTAAGTCTAGCTGCAGACAAATAAGTAAGTAGCCATTTTAAGACTTTGAGAGCCTGAACATGGGCCTATAAAATACTTAAATTAAGGCAGCTGCAATAGGAATTGTAAGGAAGGAATGGCTCCTAGATGTATACAGAAAGCAGAGGTGAAAAGATGTAAATATCAGGTAGGTATGAGGAACAGGAGCAGCAGAACGAATCTTGAATCACTTTCAGATTGATAATTGCAGAGAGAAGTCAAGGCTGAAGATGTATTTAGAATTCATCTATGAATAAGTGGTAGGGATGATACAGACATGGGTTGGACCACCCAAGGCAAGTATAAAGAAAAGAACATACATAGTACCTGAAGGAAAACTTATTTTAGGAAAAAGATGTAGCCATGGCAAAAGGTAATTGAAATGAGGGTGACAGTCATCGAGAAGGGAAATCAAACGGGCTACAGAGACAGGGTCCTGGATAATCACTCACAGAGATGTTGAAGTCATTTCAACTGTCAGGAGAAGTTGGAGTAGATGGAAACTATAAACCAAGTACCTAAATCGTTAACAAACATAGACTTTGTGACCTGAAAAATGGAAATTAGGCTCACTGGATGGCATACAACTAAATGGCATGGCCTTCCAAGGATGAGTGCTTTTGTGAGGGAGAATATGGACTTTCAGAAGGCAGCTAAAATACTAATCCTATATCATGACCCTATGACACAAGAAATATTCAAGAGCGAGCAGCCTACAGGACTAAAAGGAAATAAATGTCCTTGGAGAAGAGTCGAATTTCAATAAAGGAAAGATATAAGAGGTATGGGAACACTCTGCTAAGATACTATAGACACAGAAATGTTTGTTTACAATAAAACTTGACTTCCAGAGGGGTCAGTAAAAGGGTTTGATAAGGGATTAGTCGTCAGAGGACTACTATTAGTGGTCAGGGAAAAGGAGTGATTAACAACAAAGGAATGAATATGTGTGTGGTCGAGTAATTAGAAGGGCTTGCATTTGTGGCACTTCAAAAAATGAGTGTTTTATAAGGCATGGATGGAATTAGCAAGCCTCAAGATTTCAAAGAAAACTAACAAATTTATACCTTATGATGCTCTTGTAGTGTTAATTGGCTCTAGCAGTTTTGTTTATGTACTATAGAACCATTATGAAAAATAAGTAGCATCTTTATCCCTGGATGTTTGATGCCAAGTTATCAAACACTAGAGGTGTAAAGATACTAAACTCATGTAACCCTCCTAACAACTTATGATATAGGTACTGTTATAACTCTCATTTTGCAGATGAAGAAACAAGAAAAGTGATAAGGTGTTGAGTCACACACCTAGTAAATGGCACAGTTACAAGCAGTCTGGCTATAGGCTCTGTGCTCTGAAATGCAGGCCTCCTGCCTCTCCAGAAAACATGTAAACTGCAAGATCTTACCATAGGAGAAATTTTCAAATTAAATATATGTTGCTGTCAGGATTAAAAATGAGGGTGTTTTGTTGAAGTTTCTAGGGATCAGACTTATCAAAGCTGAGCTGAATGTCTATGGCTATCCACTGTCCCTATTCTCCCAGAAACAAAAGTACAACTGACCCTTGGAATAGATAAAGAAATAGATGACTTCTTGAAGCAGTGAAAAGATACTTGACTAAATCAAAAAACCACGGGAGAAACATAAGCACACTACCAGAGCCAGTTCTGACCAACTGCTACATTCATGTCCATAGAGACACTCTGTGCTATTGTGTCACAATTAGCCAACCCAAGAGTGGTCCCAGGAAAAGAAGGCATCTCCCCTCTTCATTCTCTGGAATGTTTCAGTCTTTACTTTGCCTACTAGGTAGGGAATTTTTTTTTAAATGAGCGTCCATTATCATGGAAAGAGCATTTATGTGTTTTTTCTCACAAGTTCTCTAACAAAGCTAAAGAGAAGGTTGTCCCCATCCTCCATTTTTTGTTTGGACATTGTGACTATTTTCCTTGCTACTCTCAAGGTAGAAACAAAATTTTACCATACAGTTGGAGTTACTTATTTAATCATAGGAAGGGCAAAATAGGATGTGTAAATCTTATTTTCACTAAATAACTTGGAAAATTTCTGGTCAGATAGATTCGACTGCTTTTCAGAGTGGTAAACAGGCATATTTACCTATTATATATATATTAAGAGGACCTAAATGTAAACATTCCCAAATGTATGACTTTTAGAAATCTCACCAATAACATCTCCTTATCAAGTAGCAATAATCAGATATTTATTTCCACTATTATTTTTGTATAGTGTGCTAAAGTTGTATATTAAGAAGAAGAGATTATAATCATCAAGTATTGATATTATAAAAGCTGATAGGGCTATGAAAGACAATAAATAGCTAAATGAGGCATGTATAATTTGACAATTTGTATAATTTGACAATTCCTAATTGCTTAGAGTATGCATCTGATTACCTGTTGTCTTGTTCTCATTCTGATAAGAGTATTCGTCTATTATTTACCATTCAGTAGGAGGTTTTTTATTTTAAACAATGACATGAAAGGTAGATGATGATTTTTTCAAAGGAATCAGACATTATATAACTGAAAATGATCAAAAAATTACCTTGAAAGCATCATCATTTTGAGTTTGGTTATAGTAAATCCAGTTTTGTTTATTATTTCAATTATTTCTCCAGCCTTTGATATTGCATCTGGTTTAATTAGAGCTAATGTTCTGTAAAGAAATAAAGAATAGGTTTGAAATTAAAAATAGTTCAGCAGTTTTTATTTATAGTTCCCAAGCAGTAGTAGTTTACTAATAATCATCCCATATCACCAAACTTCAAAATTATGTAGAAGTGTATTATTGAAGATGTCTCTTAAAAACTTTAAAGTAAGCTTAGGTATACCTGGGTTGCAGGCCCTGCTGCTGTAATGCCCAACATGTCATCTGATTGAAGAAGACCCACTGAACTGGCTCTTCTCAGGAACATTATTTTTGAGGAGGCAAGATGGCAATAGAACCAGTGGGAGCATGAAAATCTCTGTAAAGGTGAGTGTCCATAAAGACAGTCTGCATGAGTGGGTGAGTGCAGCTGAGTGAGTGAAAGTCTGTCTATGGGGAGTCTCAGGATCAAGTACATGGGGCCTCCCTCTGGAGGTGGCTGCAACCCATCACAACCCTGAACATACAGGATCATCAGCCACTCTTGGGGTCCCCCAGGTGGAGGCAGTAGAAGTCAGCAGCTCCTCAGCACCTGGCACCCGGCCCATGCTACCACCTGCAGCAGAAGGCCAGGCACTAGCAGTGGGAACTGTGGAGAGGGAACAACAAGAAAATCTGGAGTTGAGCCCCATTGATGGCGAGGAGACACTAACTGCCACCATTTTCTCTGTCCCAGGATGAGCAGAGACCTGTGTTGGTTTGCCCAGCTCTGTTCAGCCTCCAACCTGAGATCTGGAGGCGATCTCTACACTCCTCTGGGATCGATCATCACTGACCAAGAGAGGAAACTTCAGGAGTGGACAGAAAGAGAGATAGACACCCCACCTCCACACTGGACCATGCATAGACACATCTGATCTCAGTGATGGACTTGGCAGCAGCAGCAGTAAAGGAGTTGGGGGGAATACATATGCCCCACCACATGGACAGATTGTAAGGTAGGGGGAAGTGGTTCCAGGAGGCCCACACACCTAACAGCATATACTGTGATCTGCAAATACCTTCTGAAACACAGCTTCCCCATCACACCTTAAACAAACCTCAAAACTGCAAAAAACACAGCCCCTCCCAATCCCAAGTCCAGCTTCAAAATTGAACAAATCCAGAGGATCTACATAAGGAAGAACAGGAGATTGAGCAAACAGAAGTGAAAGCTATCGCCCCATCACTGAGAAACAGAATTAAGAAAGGGGAGAGAAAGGTGGGGAGGGAAACCTCACAAATAAAGAAGAATCAAAGGAAGAACACAGGTCCCATACAGACTCCTGGAAAGAAAGCAACTGAAAATACAGAACTCAAACAATGAAAAGCCCCCAGAACGAATGGTCTCAAACCACAAACCCAGAGATCAGAATATGAATAGAGGGAATGAATAGAAATGAGGGGAGACAAGGGGAAAGAACAAAGGAGTTGATAACTGAGATGATGGCAATAAAAAATACAGTAAATGAAATAAATAACAAACTGACAAGTGTGGAAAGCAGAATTAACCAAGCAGAAGAAAGAATATCAGAGCTTGAATAGCAAAATGTAGAATTAACACAAACAGTTAAAAACATAGAAAAGAAGTTTCAAAAGACAGAACAAAGTCTCCAGGAGATATGTGGTTATATCAAGGGGCCAAACCTAAGAATAATTGGCATTCCTAAGGCAGATAGAGAAGCAAAGACCACCCTAGAACAAACATTCCATGAAATTATCCAAGAAAACTTCCCTCATTTCATCAGAGACATGACCATTCAAACACAAAAGATTCAGAGAACTCCTGCAAGACATCAAATGAGAAGACTGACTTCTAGTCACATGGTAATTCACCTACACAAAGTAGGTATAAAAGAAAAACTCCTAAGGGCAACAAGACAGAAAGGTCAGACTACTTTTCGGGAAGACCAATTCGAATAGCATCAGACTTATCTACAGAAACATTACAGGCTAGAAGAAACTGAAGTCCAATCTTCAAAGTTCTTGATAAACAACTCCAGTCAAGAATTTCCTGCCCAGATAAGCTAAGTTTCATCAGCAATGGAGAATTAAAATCCTTCCCAGACATTCAATCTCTAAGAGTTTATGCTGCCTCCAGACCAGCTCTATAAGAAACACTTGAGAAAATTTTAAACATAGAAAAAAAAGGAAAAAAAAAAAGAATGACCACACTCTTCCCAAGAATGCAAGAAAAAGATTGAAAACACACAAATACATCAACCTCAAAATTGAAAAACAAATAAACAAACAAACAACAATAAGAACAAACTCTATAAGGCCCTCTTAAGAGAGAGAAACCCTCACATCTCAATAAATAGCCTGAACATGAATGGCGTAAATGCACCACTGAAAAGACACAGAAGGGCAAACTGGATAAAACAAAAACAAAAACATGATGCAACAATATGTTGTCTCCAGGAGGCACATCTCACCAGAAAGGACACTCACAGACTCAAAGTAAAGGAGAGAAAACAAATTTTCAGGTGAATGGAACACAAAAGAAAGCAAGAATTGTGATCTTAATATGAGACAAAGTATCTTTTAAACTATCAAAAGTTTAAAAAGATATGGAAAGTCACTAATGACAAAAGGTTCAATCTGTCAACAAGAAATATCCATCCTAAACATATATGCACCCAACATTGGAGCACCAACCTTTATAAAGCAGCTTCTAGATAAACTAAAAAGGGATATTGACTCTAACACTATCATAGCTGGGAACTTAAATACCCCACTATCAACCCTAGATAGAACATTGAGGCAAAAAATCAACACGGAGATCCAGAAACTCAACTTGACACTTGACCAAATGGACTTAATAGATACCTACAGGACACTTCACCCAACAACCATGGAATATACCTTCTACTCATCATCACATGGAATGTACTCCAAGATTGGTCACATTCTTGGTCATAAATCAAACATAAACAAATTTCATAAGATTGAAATACTGTCATGCACCTTCTCAGACCAGTGGAATAAAAGTAAACATCAACACCAACAAAGCTACCCTAAAACCAACAAAGACATGGACACTAAACAGCATGATGCTGAACAACTCCTGGGTCAACATAGAAATCAAAGCAGAAATTAAAAGATTTCTGGAAACAAATGCAAATAAATAAATATCTTACCAAAACCTCTGGAATGTCATTAAAACAGTACTGAGAGGGGAATTCATATCTTTACAAACAAATATAAAGAAAATGGAAAGCTCACAAGTTAACAGCCTAACAAATCACCTATGGGAGCTAGAAAGACAATACCATCAAAACTTCAGAAAAAGAATCCAGATCACCAAAGTAAAAGTCCAAACACAGGACATAGAAGACAAAAATATAATAGAAAAAAAATCAACCGAACAAGGAGCTGGTTCTTTGAAAGAATAAAAAAGATTGACAAACCCCTAGCCAGATTGACCAAGAAAAAGAGAGAAAAAGCCTAAATAATTACAATCAGAAATGCCAAAGATCAAATCACATCAAACCCTGAAGAAATACAAAAAAATTATCAGAGATTACTATGTACATCTATATGAAAACAAACTCAAAAACCTAAACGGAAAGGAGGACTTTTTGACATCACACAACTGTCATTTGCATGTTGATTTTGTACCCTGAGACTTTGCCAAAGTTCTTTATCAGTGCAAGAAGGTTTTTGATGGATACTCTTGGATTTTCTAGGTATAGAATCATATTATCAGCAAAGAGGGATGACTTGACTTCCTCCTTTCCTATTTGGATACCTCAAATTGACAAGCTCCTGCAAAGCAAAAGAAACCATCATGAGAGCAAGGAGACAGAATGGAAAAAAATGTTTGCCAACCTTATATCTGATAAAGGCCTAATATCTAGGATCTTCAAGGAACTCAAACATGCCAAAAAGAAAAAGACAAACAGCCCTATTAAGAAGTAGGCAAAAGATATGAATAGACACTTCTCAAAAGAAGACATACAAGCAGCCAACAGATACATGAAGAAATGCTCAGTCTCACTAATCATCAAAGAAATGCAAATTAAAACTACACTGAGAAACCACCTAACTCCAGTCAGGATGGCCATCATCAATAACTCAAACAACAGATGCTAAAGAGGATGCAGGGAAAAGGGAACACTTCTACCCTGTTAGGGGAGTGTAAACTAGTACAACCTCTGTGGAAAACAGTGTGGTGATTCCTAAAAGATCTAAAAATCGACATTCCATGACCCAGCAATCCCCATTCTGGGAATATACCCGGAGGAATTGAAATCAGTCTATGAAAAAGATACCTGCACACACGTTTATTGCAGCATTATTCACAATAACAAAAACATGGAACCAACCATGCTGCCCATCAAAACTGAATTGGATTTTTAAAATGTGATACATATACACAATGGAATATTATCAGCCATAAAGAAGGACAAAATTATGAACTACATGGCGCCTTGGATGGATTTAGAGTCTATAAGGCTCAGTGATGTATTACAGAAACAAAGAACTGAGTACCACATTTTCTCACTCATAAGCAAACCCTGAATAATTATCATAATATTTAAAGAAAGGGATTGGCAGTAGTGGGAAGCTGCCAGGGGAAAGAGGCACACTTCTTCAGTAAGGGTACCTGATCTTAAACCATGTGAAATGGGGACCAAAGTAAGGCCCCAACTTTACTTGTACCTGTACAATGGCCATTTGTATACTTAACCCTGAAGAGTACCCATCTTTAAAATAAAAATTTAAAAATAAAAAATAAAAATTAAGTACCAAACTTGGGAAAAAGATGTTTAGACAAAAACCACTAAAATTGTAATTTTTAATATGCCAAAATTAAAATGCATGGGCATTTAAAATTTCTATTATTTAGAATACATTTTATACAAAGGATTAATCTCCAAAAAGCTGCATTAAACATATTATGAGTTTGGGCTTTGGTCTCTGAGACTCTAACATATGTATGCTTTGCAGTCAGTTCAGCATTGCTTTGAAAATAATTATAAATTCCTCTATTGACTCTTTATTCATAGCATGGGTGATACACAAAG